ATTTTGCCTCTCAGAAATGGCATCATCGTTGACTGGGAAGCCGTGGAGGTTTTGTGGAGGCATCTCTTCAACGATAACCTCAAGGCCACCCCGGAAGAACATGCCCTGCTCCTGTCTGACCCTCCTCTCTGCCCAACGACCAACCGGGAGAAGCTGGTGGAGGTAGTCTTTGAGTCCCTTAACTCTCCAGGGATGTACGTGGCTTATCAGTCCGTCCTCTCCGTCTACGCCCATGGCAAAATAAGCGGGCTGGTGGTCGACACCGGCTACGCTGTGACGCACACTGTCCCGGTCCACCAAGGACACAATTTGATGGTCGCTACCCCGAAATACAACAGCCTCAAATATGCAGATGATACCACCCTGATGGCAGAAAGTGAGGAGGAGTTAAAGAACCTTGTAATGAGGGTGAAAGAGAGCGCAAAAAAGGTATGAAGCTCAACATCAAATAAAATAACAATAACAAACAAATAGTAAGTTATTCAAATATTTATTCAAATGGTCTGAAGCTCAACATAAAAAAAAACAAGATCATGGCCACTGGTCCAATCACCTCCTGGCAAATAGATGGGGAAGATATGGAGGCAGTGACAGATTTTACTTTCTTGGGCTCTGTGATCACTGCGGATGGTGACAGCAGCCACGAAATTAAAAGATACCTGCTTCTTGGGAGGAAAGTGATGACAAACCTCGATATGATCTTTAAAAGTAGAAACATCTCCTTGCCGACAAAGGTCCACATAGTCAAAGCTATGGTTTTTCCAGTACCGATATATGGAAGTGAGAGCTGGACCATAAAGAAGACTGACTGCCGAAGAATTGATGCTTTTGACTTGTGGTGCTGGAGGAGATTTTAAGATTTCCCTGGACTGCAAGGAGAACAGACTGATCCATTCTGAAGGAAATCAACCCTGAGTGCTCACTGGAAGGACAGATCCTGAAGCTTGAGGTTCTAATATTTTGGCCATCTCATGAGAAGAGAAGACTCCCTGGAAAAGACGCTGATGTCGGGAAAGTGTGAAGGCAAGAGGAGAAGGGGACGAGGGAGGATGGGATGGCTGGTCAGGGTCACAGAAGCGACCAACAGGAATTTGACCCAACTCCGGGAGGCTAAAAAACAGCAATCCCATCTGGAGGGAAAGGCTTGTAGGAGGGGGAAGGACGCACCACGTCGAGGGGGATGCTGGGCTTTGTAGTCCCACCGGGGCGAAAGATCGGAGAAAACTGCAGGCAGGCCAAGGGGATGCTGGGCTTTGGAGCGGCGAGCGAGATGGCACACACCCTTCCCACAAAAATGGAGAGAGGGGGGCAAAAAAAAAAGAAGATAGAATGAAAGAAGGCACAAGCTGGAAAAAAAGAAAGAAAGGCAGGCAGGAAGGCAGAGACAGGAGCACCCGCGCATGCGCCC